CTCAAATAATGTAAATAATGTAAATAATCATTATACCTCATCTCAGAGATATAGACAGAGACAAAAAGAAATAAAAAAGGAAAAACGAAAGAACAAAAGAAAGTGAAAATCAAACAAAATGAGATAAAATTGATGAGACAATAGAAACAATGGCAAAATGTCGGAAGATAATTAGCAATTGAAAAAAATTTGATGAAATTTATCTAAGAAATTCAAACGAAGAAAGTTCAATTTAAAGATCAATAAATTAAAACAAAAATGTTATTTCAAATTCAAATACACCTCGAAAGGATGTAGTGAGCTCTAGCATGACTAAGTGCTTCAGTCTTATGTCCTTTTACCAAACTTAGCTAAGCGTTGTAAATGATGACACTAAAATAAGACAAGATGCCACATCGTCTTTAAAATAGTCAACAAGCTGGGTTTTTACATCATTAGTTCTGATTTCGATTCTTACTGGATGCCTCATTGTTGTGATCTTGTGCCATACATATCCAGGTTTAATGAATCATTGACTGCCTTGGCTATTTTGGTTGACTTGTACTACTGTGTAAATAATTCCATCCTTGTTGAGTGCCCCCAAATATGTGGCCCTATGCCAATTTAATCTGAGCTTAACAAATAAGAGCTCCAAATTAAAACCGTTCCAGCTTCCTCTTTTGTACAATGTTGGGAAAATTTTAGAAGTGTTTTTATCACATTGCATCTGATAATTTTACGCTGTTTTCTTAGCTAGATATCAAATTTCTTTTTTATACTTCACCCAATAAAGGGCTCGGTATGATATAGTGTAATGCATTTTCTACATTGTTCAATTTCCATTTTTAATTGGCTTAGCAAATATATCTTAGACAGTGGCTCACTCAAATGTATTGTGATTATACAATAGGTGAAAGCACGTCCCGGTAATAGGTTGCAATATTTAAGTATTTGTTTGCCTTGATTTACAACATATCTATCATGTCCGTATTGTATAATGCTGAGATTTTTCGTATTGCTAAACTATTTACACGAGAGTCAATACAGATAGTTTTACATTGGAGTCGAAAAGGTAGACATAGGTCCAGTTTACACTCGAGGAAAAAAGATAGACATATATCTAGTTTATACTGGAGTCAAAACGTAGACATGGGTCCAGTTTACACTAAATTTTAATACGGTGGACATAGGTCAAAAAAGAAGAAAGAGAAGAAAAAGAAAAAGAAGATGCAAAAGAAGAAAAAGAAGACTAATATATGTGCGCTATCAATGAGATTTATTCACGTTATATAATATTATATATATATATATATATATATATATATATATATATATATATATATATTATGAATTGAAAATAGAGAGTGGTTATTTGATGTAAGAAAATAAACGTCAGTTATGCTTATAAAAAATGAATATTATATGCCTAAAGAAAATGACGAATACATATAATTTAAATTCTAATTCATGTTAATATTATTTATCTGTAAAGGAAAATATAGAATCAAATTAAATAAAATATAATATAAAACTTTATTAAAGTGATTGACCAGTATCTATTTTATTATTATTTTCTTTAAATATTATCTGAACCACGAAGCGACATTATGCATTAGTCTTAGCCACTTTCCAGTCCATTTGTATTGGCAGACGACAGACAGTAATAATTGTTTGGGTCTTTTTCTCCTCTAAAACTCATCTTCGTATGACAGTTATAATTAGAAAAAAAATGTGGAAATCTTTTCCGCTTCTTTGTTTTCCAATCAACTTTGATCTTCGAAAATTTAAATGCAATTTCAATCGTTATCTACGGTTTTCTTAATTCATTTTCTTTTATTCTTCTCTCACCTTAATATTGTTTTCTTTTTTCACATATTCTCTAACTCTCAGTAACATCCCCCCCTGCGTCTTAATGGCTTCATTGTCTTGCTTCAGGTGTAAAACAGAAACGGCGATATCTTATAAAAATGTAATTTGTAAGAAATTGAATTTACTCCTGATTCTTCATTTCTTTCTTAATCCTAAGCAAGAAATCGGGAAAGATTCCCGTAAGCGAAAAGTACGAGAGAAGAAATTGTAAGCATAGAACTTACGGTCACATTTACGGCTTCAACTTTAAAATTATGAGACCTTATTTCCAATCTAGTACTGCGCTTACATTCATAAAGTCTAGATACTAAAGAGAAAAGCTCTATATAAATTTATTTCTTATAAATCTTCTAGAAGATTAAAGACCATTTAACCATTTTATTGTTTATAAAATAGAAAGAATGGCTTGTATATTCGTTGTGGATACAATACATTCTATTATAATTCGTACAAACACACACACGCATATATATATATATATATATGTGTGTGTGTGTGTGTGTGCGTGTGTGTGTGTGTGTGTGTGTACGAAGGTAGTTTATCTTTAGATTTGTTACACTGCTTTCTGCTCATTCGTGCTTATATTTGGTGTTATTGTTGGCACGGGGTCGAAGTTTGAGCTTAATCGCGCCTTTTTTATTGTTGCTGTTACAGTGCAAACATAGCCGCTCCGCTAGCAGTGTGTAACAAAGAGAATGAAAGAACGGCGATCCGAATCTACAGAGAACATGCTAACTCGTTGATGATAACTAGCCATGTTCGCAGTTGCCAGTTCTCTTGCTCGCTGGATATTCTCGTCATCGGTAAATTTTGAGACGCACCCTGATTCTTCTTCGTACGTCACGGTTTTCCGGTCACTTTTAAACTGACGCTGTATTGTGCTAAAAGCCTCCGATGAATTTCAGCCACTGTCACACATTCCGACCGAAGAAATCGGATCACATGTGTTCGTGTTTAGAAAAATATACACGATTAATTTTTTGTTCAATAAATTTTTTCAAATACTTTTTTCCGAAAACACTTTCTTCCGCCAAAATAAAAGTATGTTCCGTACACTTGTGCGTTATATATTCCGAAAACCCTGTAGCTGTCAAAAAAGAAATTTACTTTCATTGTAAGCATTAACAAAATTCATTGATAATACAAGACTTAAGCTAGAAATGATTTATCAATTTAAAAGACTTTTTAAAATATTATATCTGGAAAGAATATGTTTGCATAACGTATAAAAAAAGTTCAGGTTTTTTTTTTGTTTTGTTTTTTCTATGAGTAAAAATGCTTCCATCATTCTCTTTGTATACGGTTCTAGTAACATTCGCCGTAAACATTTTTGTCCTAGGAAAATTCGACTTAGGAATTTTCGCAGTAGAAAACTGCGTATAGGAATTTTGCCGTAAGGCAATTTCGCCGCATATTTTTTAATAAGCGAAGTACCTTGTTATCAATTATATCTGGCTCACACTATTGTTACTTCGATTTAAACATTTTAATAAGCGACGTTATAGGATCAAAATCCTTCATCATTCATCCTCGTCAATGAGGAGCACAAAAATTTCAAATTGACACCAGAACCTACGTCATTCAATTTCATATTTCAGACTTAAAGTAAAACTCTCTGTTAACATAATATCAATCTGTCAATAATTCCCACTCAAGCAATATATATTATTTCAAATAAACTTACAACTTGAATACGCAACCAACTTCTATATAAAATATCTAATCAAAGAAAGATAACTCTTTCTAACTCTAAGTCTTTTGAAATTTACACAAATTATTTGCAAACAGAAACTGTTTTAAATTCACTATCAGTACCTATTACCCTAAATGGGACGTTCAACATAAGGGTATCGAAAAAATGCGGCGAAATTGTCTTACGGCAAAAATCTTATACGGCGAAAATTCCTCTGGTAAAATTTCTTGAGGCGAGTTTTCCTACAGTAAAAATATTTACGAATGTTCCGGATACGTCGCTATACACTGATGAAGGATGAAGAATGTGTCAGCCGAACACATCGTTTTAACAAAAATAAATAAATAAACGAACAATGTGTTCAACTATCTGGGAAGAAGAAGAAATACCCGTGAAAATTTTATGGTCTTCCTATTTTCACTTTCTAATGAATCTTAATTCTTAAGTGAATAATTAAATAAGCTCATCTTGAGCTCTACGACAATAAAATATCCGTAGAAATTCAAACTGTCACATCGTTAAATATTGGAGCTTAACAACTTTAACAAAATATTGCAATAATAATTGTAAATATCAACCCTAGCCATTATTTTAAGAAGTAAGGGTGTACAAATGAAAAGATTTGAATTTTTTTTCCATTTCACTGCTGTTAAACACTTGTAACTTCCCTTCTTTCTTATTTATTCTTTCATTTTCTCACTGGCCTTAAGTATCGTCTCTGATATGTCCTTTCCGTCCTACCACGAGATCAAAACGGAGTACTACATTATTTAGGAGGTATTGGCATAAGACTTTAAACACTTTTATCCTCTCTTCTTTCTTTCTTTCTTTCTTTCTTTCTTAAAAAAAAGTAAATTCAGCAGTAATTCAACATACAATATATTCCACTGTATTTATAAGGATTGGGACATACATAGGTACGGTATAACAACAACAACAACAACAAAAACAACAATAATAATAATAATAATAATAATTAGCATATTACCTGTCAAAAACTTTAGTGTTATTTATATATAGATGGGCAAATCTGCCAAGGAGCAATATATATTAGGTTGGTGCAAAATAATGAGGTAATAATGTCGTTTTTTGAGATTAAAAAATACGTCACAAAACGACATTATTACGTCATTATTTTTGCACCAACCTAATATTAATTGTACTCAATTGTCTTTCTTACACACACACACACACACACACACACACACACACACACACACACACACACACTATATCTGTTTATTGCCTCATGACAGGAGAATCAGAAAATATTAGTGACGGGAATAGTCCATTACTTATTAGGTATTGATAGGAGTTATTAAACTCTTCTATCTTCCCGTCTTCCTTTCTTCCTTTCGTTCTTTCTTTTTCTCACTGGAATCATGCAGTATCTCTGATATGCCTTTTCTGTCTTTCTTCATTCAAAACGGAATAGGCCACTATATATCTCTCTCATTCA